AGAGTGTGTGAGTTTGGACCGGTGTTTGATGGCTTTGCAGGGAAGCTAGAAGGTGACCTGGTCAGGAGCGACCAAAACATCTTTGCTGGCTTAGAAAGCATCCCTGAAAATGGTGGTTGTACTTTTTGTCGCCCTTCAAACGAAAGCCCCAAAAGGGTACCCCCAAACAAGGATGCAGCTTTGCAAGCGTCGGCAGCAATGCCATTTCTGCAGGAATCCACGAGCTAGGCGGGAATCTGGACGTCCAACAGGCCCTTTGAAGGGTCACCGGTGGTTCCGTTGAATCGGCTGGCAAACAGAAGTGCCTTGGGGGTGAAAATGGCCAAGACGTGTGCAACGCAGGTCCTGCTACCCCCCAAAAAACCTTGGCTTCCGAAAGTCTAGTCTGTGAGCCTGCTCAATTTGCTCCTTTTTGTACTGGCCCGTTTTACTTACAACACTTGATCAGGTTGCAAACAAACAGCATAGCAAAATGGAGCCGCATGTTCAGCCATTCAACAGTTTATGAGGGCTATGTTAAAAGCTACATGATTAGAATGGGGGGGGTACTTCCAAACCAGGGTAACTCATGATCGTAGCAGAAAATGCTGTCTGTTTAGTCCCTGAAAGTCGTGGAACCAAGTGCCCAACCTGCATAAACCATGTCAAGGGACATCGCCAGTTCCTTGCACCTCGAGAAATGGAAGCCCTCCAGCCGTTGGCTTAACCTCTCCTGATGGCTGCCAATTTTGAAAGGCCCTTGTTCAACAAGCCATTGTGATGTTGAAGCGTGTTCCCGCATTGAAGGCACCCCCCACGGGCAAAAGCTGTTGCATATTGACAGGATTAAAGCCAGCACCGGTAGGCGCTTGTCTGGTGCTTTGCAAACTTCCTGTGGAAATTCTGTGGATCACTGGTTTCTTGGTGCTGACCTTGCCGAATACAACTCCCATTTTCTTGTGGGGGCACATTTTCTCTTGAGATCGCCTGGCTCTTGGCCCGCCTCTATGGAAGAAAAACATGGTATGACTCTCCAAGTTTAGCCTACAGTAAAAAATAGACCACGTCTTTGACGGCGACCCCAGAGTTTTGCCATGGACACTTCCCTGTGAACTAAGTGAGGCGGGCTTGGCCTTGAAAGCCAGCGTGCGCGTGTGAGGCGCTGGTAATCTGCTCAGAACGAGGGATATACGTTCCAGTCCCCAGGCCACCAAGCCCGCAAGGTGAACTATGGTTGATGGTAAAATAAAGCGTCACGGAAATCTGGTCCAAACGCCCGCCAATTGAATTCATAGCCTTTGCTCAAGCTAGAAGCTCCGGACCAGGAGCTTGCAGAATCGCGCGTCAGATTCAGTCAGCCGTCCAGGGTTTCGCGTAAAGTAGCAAAAAATGGACCCTTTCGACAGTCGTCCACCGCTGTCCAAACAAGTCGCCGCTAAGATCGTAGTGGCAGTTGTTCACGTCGCAGCAGCGCAGCGACCCATAGAGGGAGGCGCAAGCACCACCTTGGAGCAACCAAGGTTCGCTTGAGATGAGGCATCGAACGTGACTTGAAACGCGGGGGTTAGTATTCCAACTTATGTGGAAACCAAATGAGAAGGTGCCCCCGTGCCTCTAAACCACAAATCTCAAGTGCCAAATCCAGGACCAACATTGCCCCAGGAAGGATCGAATTTCAAGAAGAACCCTCCGATCAGGGACCTTGGGCCCAGGTTATTCCCCTCAGCGCCTGAGAAAGCCTTGATCGGTGGGTTTACGAATCGTGCACTGACAATTTGGCGAACCAAGTCAAGTTGACACAGCCAACATTAAACATACGCCAGCATAGGAAAACTCAACAAGAACTGTGTGTCTACACACACACCAAACTAAAACAAACCGGACGATGGGCTGGAACAGCCTACAACTGCAAGCACCATGATCTTCTGAACGGGGTGGACCATCATGGTTAGACGACTCAAGGCCGAACTCATGTCTTCAGCCGCCGGCACGTGCAAACCCTTCCAATAGGAACTCCCAACATGGTTTAGATCTCTTTGGTGTCCCATCCAAAACAGGGTACTCAAGAAACAAAAGCCACAGTCCAAACTGCTTGTTCCTGCAAGAGGAATGACATTGCAAGATTAGAGAGTCGCTCGTCTTTTCGTTGAGTATTTGGTGAGGTTCCCTTCCCAAGTGGGTGTGTCGATTGAAAAAGACCCCCAAAAGGGTCTCAAACAACACCCTACAAGTAGGCTTCCAAAGGCCATTACAAGAATTGTCGAGGTTGCTAGACTGTTTTGTGCTGAAAGACCGTTTTTTTGCGCTTGGCCCTGAATATCCAAATAGTAATGGTTTTTGTTGCCCAAGAATTGCATAGGGTCAGGTCACTGACAGTCACGCCGCCTTCATCCTCCCAGCTGCAAATGACTGAGCCCAAGCCACTCATTCCCCGTCTTGCCAAGCTTATGGTCGCTTCACTTTTCAAAATCGCCAGGTGTCCTGCCTGCAGTATACGCGTGCATAAATGCTTTACATGTTGGGACTGAAGTCCGGCAAAAATTGAAAAATGCTTCAAACCTAGTGGCTTCCGGGCATTGCTGCTGATGAGGCATGCGTTGAACCCCTGCGGGTATGGTTGTCCACGCTTTTAAACGTACTTTCCACGGTTTGTCCACGGTTTGTCGTGTGTCCACGCCTCATTTTCTTTCAACATCGATTAAACCATCAACAAACAACACGCGATGAGACTCTGTGGAGCTGCGGACAAGAAATCAAAAAAAAAAACACGCGCGGGCATGTGAGGGACAAGCCAATTTGACGCAGCATGATGACGGCCTGTCATTACAACGGGATGAAGCGACTTTAAAACATATTTACCCAGACGCTCCCAACTCATGTTTCGGGCCTTCGGGCCCTCGCGGGCCCTCACGGGCCCTCGGGCTGGTTGGGGGGGGGGCTAAGGCTCGTGGCAACATAGCGCAGATTGGAGAAAGCAAATAGATAGTCTAGATACCGGACACTTAATCTGAACTTAGTAATTATCTACTGTTTCGTTTACTAGGAAGAGATAAAGACAGATAAACATAACAAATAATAAAAGATCAAACAAGTAGATAAGACAATAAATAGAAAACAAGATAACAACACACAGTTAAAACAGCAGAATTGATGTAAATAACTTGCAAAGAGCTTGCCCTTCAGCAGAAGAAACGTTGCAGCCGGGTGAATCAAAAAATGCAACTTTCGAGCTGGAATTGTGGAAGTGTCAAGCACTGTTCTCTCGCTACAGCGTTACAAGAGCCCCCGTTACATACCTCCGTACCAAGGTTCGCGCCGCGTCGGGCTTTGCATGCCCCTTAAAAACCATAGCCATGTATAATCATAACCCGAACAATGGCATCATCCTGGCGCAATACAATGTGGACCTGGTACAATAAAATGCGCGTCTGAGAACCCACAAGCATAATAAAAATAACGGGGAAGGCCTGGCTTTGCAAAGAAGAGGTTTGGAGGGGCCGCGTTTTCCATTTAGTTTGGGCTGATGGTTCTAGCTTCATTTAACCCGCTTTTCCATCTAGTTTGGGTTGGTGGTTTGGAGGGCCGGTTTTGCATTCGTTTGGGTTGCTGGTTTGGAGGGGGCAATTGTTTCATTTAGTTTGGGTTGGTAGTTTGGAGGGGGCCGCTGTTTTCATTTGGTTTGGGTTGCTGGTTTGGAGGGGCCGCTTGTTTCATTTAGTTTTGGGTTGTTTGTGTGGAGGGGCCGCTTGTTCTATTTACTTTTGCTTGGTGGTTCTAGTTTCACTTAATTGTCGTTGGTGGTTTGGTCGGAGGGGTCCGCTTTTCCATTTGCTGGTTTGGAGAGGTCGTTTTTGACATTGTGTTTGGGTTTGTAGTTAGGAGGCCATTTAGTTTGGGTTGCTGGTTTGGAGTTTGGAGGGGCCGTTTGTTTCATTTAGTTTGGGTTGGTAGTTTGGAGGGGCCGCTTTTTTAATTTAGTTTGGGTTGCTGGTTTGGAGGGGCCGCTTGTTTCATTTAGTTTCGTTTGGTTGCGTGGAGGGGCCGTTTTTTCTATTTGGTTTGGGTTGGTAGTTTGGAGGGGGCCGTTTTTCCATTGGTTTGGGTTGCTGGCTTGGTTGGGTTGGTTGTGTGGAGGGGCATTTTTTCCAATTAGTTTGGGTTGATAGTTCTAGTTTTATTTAATTTGTGTTGGTGGTTTGGAGGGGCCGGTTTTCTATTAGGCTTGGTTGCTGGTTTGGAGGGGCCGCTTGCTTGTTTCATTGAGTTTGGGTTGGTTGTTTGGAGGGGCCGCTTGTTTCATTTAGTTTTGGTTGGTTGTTTGGAGGGGCCGCTTGTTTCATTTAGTTTGGGTTGGTAGAAGCTACGCAAGTTGGGTCGCTCAATTCATGCTTCTTTACTTGCGAATTTTGGAAGAAACCAACTAGGTCAACATCCAGGGCCCCTCGAATCTGAGTTCCTGGGCTGGGGAGATTGAAAGACCGACAAAAAGGTCAAAAACCCGGGTTGTGAAATCCTAGTTCCTGATTTGGGGAGACCAACAAAGTTCAAAACGCTGAAAACCCCGGGTCCCCTAAAGTGATGTGATGTGTCTTTACTTGGGGAGATCAAAATCCCGGGTCCCGAAAGTGATGTTCCGCCGGGTGTTTCTTTACTTGGGGAGTTCAAAATCCCGGGTCCCGAAAGTGATGTTCCGCCGGGTGTTTCTTTACTTGGGGAGTTCAAAATCCCGGGTCCCGAAAGTGATGTTCTTTACTTGGGGAGTTCAAAAGTTCAAACCCCAAAGTGATGTTTCTTTACTTGGGGAATTCAAAAAGTTCAAAATCCTGGTTCCCCAACGTGATGTTTCTGTACTTGGGGAATTCAAAAAATTCAAAATCCTGGGTCCCCAACGTGATGTTTCTGTACTTGGAGTTTTCAAACAATTCAAAAATTCAAAATCCCGGGTCCCAAAAGTGATGTTTCTTTACACGGGGAGTTCAAACAGTTCAAATGCCGTTTTTTTTGCGCAGTTGGAGGGCCTGTCGCTGGCCTGCTTGGTTGGGGTTTCCTAGGGAGGGTCCGGGGCCCTCCCTCCTGAAAGGACCCGCCTGTTTGTCGGATACGGGGCCTTGTGGGCCCGTAGTGCAATCCGGACGGGATCAATGGATCGCTGATCGACCAAAATGGCCTCGAATCACACCTCCCCTATCCGACGGCTATCCGACGGTTATCCGACGGCTATCCGACGGCTATCCGACGGTTATCCGACGGTTATCCGACGCTATCCGACGGTATCCGACGCCGGGCCCTCGTAGACCCTCAGTTTTGGGGGCCCCGGCCCAATTATCCGACGGTTATCCGACGGCTATCCGACGGCCATCCGACGGCCATCCGACGGCTATCCGACGGACCATCCGACGGTTATCCGACGGTTATCCGATGGTAATCCGAAGCTTGTTTGCAGCCCAAGGCCCCCAACAAAAAACCAGCCCGAAACCTCCTACGACCGCGAGGGCCCGCGAGGGCCCAAGGGCCCGAAACATGAGTTGGGAGCGTCTGGGAAACTCTATTTTGTTTGTTGTGTGTGGCTGCCATGCTTTTTGTGCAGTTGGATTTTTTCTAGGCCTGTCACTGGCCTGCTTGGTCGGGCTGCTGATTCTCTTGAAGTGGGATGTTTGTAGTAGGGCTGTGTGGATGTCGCTTTCTTGGCGCAGTTGCTTTTCTTCAGGGCCTGTCGCTGGCCTGCTTGGTCCGGCTGTGGCCTGCATGGCCCGCCTGATGACCCGCATGTCCTGCCCACCGCCCACCGCCCACCGCCCACCACCCTGCGTGAGGCAACAGCTCTTCGCAAGCAAGATTGCCAACAACATCTGCAGAAAACAGGCAGGCAAAGACAACAACCAAATTAGAAACCAGAAAAAAAGCACTTTGCGAAAAGCAGCAGCCCAACCAAGCAGGCCAGCAACAGACCCTGAACAAAAAAGCGGCAGCCGCGGACAACAAGCAATTAGCAACTCTTACTTAAAAAATCAAAAAAACTTTACGAAAAACAGCAGACCAGGCGCTTCAGTGACAGGCCCTGAACAAAATCCAACTGCGCAACAACAAAAAATGGCAGCCACACACAACAAACAAAGCAGCAGCTGTACTAAAAAAGACAAGACCGCGAAAAGCAGCAGCCCGACCAAGCAGGCCAGCGACAGGCCCTGAAACAAAAACAACTGCACCAAAAAAGCGGCATCCACACACAAAAAGCAAATTAGAAGTCCTACTACAAAAATCCAACTTCACGAAAATTAGCAGCCTGACTAAGCAGGCCAGTGACAGCATGCACAAAAAGCATGGCAGCCACGCACAACAAGCAAATTGGAAGCTCTACTAAATAAATCCAACTTCACGAAAAGCAGCAGCCCAAGCAAGCAGGCCAGTGACAGGCCCTGAGCAAAAATCCAACTGCACAAAAAACATGGCAGCCACACACAACAAGCAAATTAGAAGCTTGACTAAACAAATCCAACTTCACGAAAAGCGACGAAAAGCAGCAGCCCGACCAAGCAAGCCAGTGACAGGCCCCTATAAAAACAACAACTACACAAAAAAGAACGCGGCAGCCACACGCAACAAGCAAACTAGAAGCTCTCGGGAAAAATCCACTTCACAAAAAGCAGCAGGCCGACCAGGCAGGCCAGTGACAGGCCCTGAACAAAATCCAACTGCACCAAAAAAGTGGCATTCAAACACAACAAGCAAATTCGAAGCCCTACAACAAATACCACTTCGCTAAAATCACCAGCCCGACCGAGCAGGCCAGTGACAGGCCCTGAAACAAATCCAACTTCACCAAAAAACGGCAGCCACAGACAGCAAGCAAAAAACAATAATCTCTATACTGAAAAACATCACGAAAAGCAGCAGGCCGACCAAGCAGGCCAGTGACAGGCCCTGAAGAAAAACCCAACTGAGAAACAAAGCGGCAGCCACAAAGAAACCCAATGGAAACAAAACACTTCACGAAAAGCAGCAGGCAGACCAAGCAAGCCAGTGACAGGCCTTGAAAAGAACCAACTGCACAACAACCAAAAAAAACGGCAGCCACACAGAACAAGCAAACTAGAAGCCCTTCGGAAAAATATTGCTTCACGAAAAGCAGCAGCCGGACCAAGCAGGCCAGCGACAGGCCCTGAAGAAAAGCAACTGCGCCAAGAAAGCGACATCCACACAGCCCTACTACAAACATCCCACTTCAAGAGAATCAGCAGCCCGACCAAGCAGGCCAGTGACAGGCCTAGAAAAAATCCAACTGCACAAAAAGAATGGCAGCCACACACAACAAACAAAATAGAGTTTCCCAGACGCTCCCAACTCATGTTTCGGGCCCTTGGGCCCTCGCGGGCCCTCGCGGTTGTAGGAGGTTTCGGGCTGGTTTTTTGTTGGACCTTTGGGCTGCAAACAAGCTTCGGATTACCATCGGATAACCGTCGGATAACCGTCGGATGGCCGTCGGATAGCCGTCGGAGAACTGTCGGATGGCCGTCGGATAGCCGTCGGATGACCGTCGGATAATTGGGCCTGGGCCCCCAAAACTGAGTGTCTACGAGGGCCCGGCGTCGGATAACCGTCGGATAGTAATGCTAGGGGAGGTGTGATTCGAGGCCATTTTGGTTCCATCCATCCCGTCCGGATTGCACTGGGGGCCCACGAGGGCCCCGTATCCGACAAACAGGCCGGTCCCTCCCTAGGAGGGCCCCGGACCCTCCCTAGGAGGGCCCACGAGCCTCTGGGTAGCTTATTTCAGTAAAACAAGCAGCAATAAAGTTCTTGAACCTCTCACTGCAGAGAAGCGCCCGGGGAGGTCGGGAGCAAGCCGTCTGAAGTTGGCCAAGTTTCTCTCTAGCCCTACTTTTAATGGTCGAGGGACATTACATTATAGCCCTTCGTTTTTAAAATTATCGAGGCTTTTAAAAAAAAGAAGTGAGGAAGCATCGGGAAAAAGGACAGACTGAAATGAACCACAGACCACTTAGTTTTGGTTTCCCCTTGCATCACCGTGCTGCGCAGTGCCCGGCATAAATGCGTGACACTGACAGATGAAACCACAGACCACTGGACATTTTGCCGAGACCAATATGCTGATACGGCCATAGCCACGAAGGCGCTGAACTGCCGCGCTTGAATCAAGCTTCTGCCCAATGGGCCAAACGAGTGGAGTCGACCCCATGCAAAAGTGTACATTTTGGCTGGCAGAAAAACAAAAACACCACAGAGGAAGACCAAAGACCAAAGACCAACGAAAAATAACGGGGAACCAACGAGGAAACATCAACGAGGAAAAACCATGAAGGGGAAAAAAAAACACAAAGGGAACATTTTGCATTGAACATGCAAGCGCTTCGTCACATGAGCAGACCTCCCAAAGACTTCTTGTCCAGATGTTTGTATGCTGCTTTAGTCCACCGCAACGCCCTGCGAACCAGGAAGACGTATACCCAGTGCTTCCAGTTGCAAATAGGACTTTCCGAGCTTCCCCCTTGCTTTACACAGTGGCTTCCCCCTGGCCGACTGCGGCAAATGGGACTGGAATACATATCGACCCTGGAAGATTGATCCTGCAAGGTGTGCGGCCAAGAGTCCAGCTTTGTCTCACATCCGGAGACGCAACTCGAATAGACTTAGGAAATGACCCGACTCGGTGAAATAACCGAAGCAATGAGCTTAGAAAGGGGGTTTAACCAAACTTGTTGATACGCATTTCTTTGGAGCCCGACTAATGTTGGGCTCAGCCTTGTGGAAAAGCCTGGCAGCCGAGGTATCCAACAGGTGGCCATGGTCCTGTACGTAACCACAATGGTTGTGCGGTATTTTGTCTCAGGGTGCACCAGCCTTCTGAAGGCTGTTCACGCAAGGGCTGGCAAGTGCAACCCTCGCATCTTGAACAAGTTGCTTAAAGCATGAAAACGGCCATATTACCTGGAACCTCCATCGTAGCATAAATTTCTGCCTCCCCCCTTGTTCGATACCAAAATTGACTCGACGTAGCACTTTTTGCCTCCCATTCGCTTCCGAGCGCTTTTTGACGATTCGGGCAGAAATCCCATTCGGCCGTGTTTTTTCTTCTTCCCCATGGTCAAGTTGCCGCCAAAACGGGCGCACAAATGTGCAAAAAAAGTGCAAAACGAGCGCAAATCGGCGCAAAAAAACGCAAACGAGCGCAAATTCAAACAATGCTACGAATCGCAGGTAGCAAATTGCATTTGCGCGGATGTCTCGAGCACTTTCTGTTAAAACGAGCGTTTTTTTGAGAAGAACGTGTCACGAGCAAAAATATTTCGTAGCAAAAATTAAGGTAGCAATGGAGGCTCCAGGTAATGTTCGCTTTGGGTACACACCCATGACGTAAGCAGAGGGTTCCCCTCAAATAAATCGACTCGCAACTCAAAGGCGATCCACTCCTGCCCAAGCTAAGGCAGGATATCTTTTCATAAGGAGCTGTAACCCAACTAATCATAAGTAGTTAAAGGGCACATACTATAGTCTGGAGGGGCGGAGTCAAGCCAATGAACCTGAACTAAGTGTGAGTTAGGATTCTTTTGGGTTTCCCCGTAGAACAACACAAAGAAGGTCTCACTTCTTGAGTAGACTGCCCCTGTCTAACACTCAAATGGTCTTCCGGAAAAATGGCATTCCAAGACTGGGAGTGTCTCAAAATAGGCAGCCCAAAACATGGTTGGTGTCGTTTTGGCTCCCTTATCTTTCCTTTAAAACCAAGCCCAAAAAAAGTACCGACACAAAAGACATATGGTGTTCCCTTCAAAACCAAGCCCAAAAAGAGTACTGACACAAAAACGATACCCACCAATGGACTTCCAAAAACGTGACTGAAGTCCAGCAACCGGTTGGCAGCGCGCAGTCGTCTCAGCCCGGGCCGAGGGGCAGTGGCACTGGCCGTGGTCCAAGCTCCAGACGTGCGCGGCATCTCGGCGAATTCCCGCTCGCGCGCGCGCGCGAAGGCGCGCGCGTTTTGGGAGCGGTGGGTGACGGGTTTTTGCGGGGCGATTCTTTCGACTTCCAGCACCGCCAAAATCCATAAAGGGAACTCACTCAACATAAGCCACCAAAAGGACAAATATTGAGGCTTTCCGTGGGGGAAAAATCCGAACTGAACCATCCCTTGTGGCTTTCCTTCGACACTGCGGATGATTCTTTAAGAACCTGCGAGTTGATCAGTTGGGTTTGGATTGGGCCTCCGAACAAATGGATTTCTTTCTCATGGCAAACACATGATTGCCCTTGGCGGTCAGCCCCTGTGTGAGAACATGTTTATGGGCTTCTGAAGAGAAACCAACAAGGCATATCGAAGAGGTATCTTCGGGTCCCTCAAGCGGCCGCATTTTGAAGTGGGCCCCATACGGTTTGAAGGGAAGCCAAAAGGCTTTCGGGCCTTAGAGAAGCAATTGTGGGAGTCCAATTCTGACTGGGTCCCCTCAAGTGGATCCATTTTCAGGGGTTCTCAGACTCACCTTTTGGGGCCCCTATGACCGCAGGTCATCTTGAGATGAAAAACCCCATGGGTTTGGAGAACAGCTTGGTACAGAAGCGGGAAGTAACCTGACGTCAACCCAATCACCACTGGAGCCGTGTACAACTGTGTCTCATGACCCAGTTTGAGTCTTGGAGACTACGTCCATTGACACCCCAACAACAAACGAAGCAGCCAGGTCGGGGCAGCTGTCGAGCATGCGCATTCTCCCAAGTCAAGTATGGGATCAACCACAGTCTGCTTTTATTTGGGTGTTTCGTCTCTTGGGATGATACATATATTATACATTATTCCATATATATATAGTATACCATACACCCAATGAGCCCAAGCACTTGCTTGTTGTTTTCATGTACCTTCGGCTTTGGGGCCCCAACTGGTGTTGAAGGACCTGAAGAGGTAGTCCTTGTCCACAAAGTACTGCAGCGTCTTGAAGGTGTCCCGCATTACCCTGGCCAAACAATCACCAAAAAAGAGCCTCGCCCTTTTGGACCATGGAATCCTGTAACTAAACCACTGCCAAGCTAAAAAAAACACGAGTGCCAGAACCATGTTTCGTAGAACTGTCCTACTCCTCTTGCTGAGGCTTCATCGAGTCCGAGGCGCGCTATCGCTGTCGCGAAAACGCTCGTCTCTGAAAAAAGCGGTCGAAGAGTAACCTCCATCCCAAAGAACCTGGTAGTTCTAAACCAAACATGTCAAGCATTCCGAGCTCTGCTCGCACATGTTCGCAACTGGTCTGCTACGCGGCCGTCTAGCTTGCACTGCTGAACGCAGAAACAGTTCGCGGGGGCAAGAGGGGGGAGAAACTGCAAAGCTTCGGGTTTCCAAAAAGTAAGGAATGCCGCCAAGGCTTGGTTGATCTTCCCATTCGGGCACCACCCCAAAACTCTGGAAATCGGTTTGGATGCGGCTTTTGTGGTTCCACCCCTGTAGAAGGTTAAAAGAGTACGAAAAGATTACTAAAAAAGGACCAACAAAACGGTTTCTAGAAAAACAGGGTTCTTGCTTCTGGGACTCATTGCCTTTTACTCCTCAAACAGGATCATGCCCATGGAACGCCCGAGAAAGGTTTGTTCTCTCACCAATGGCGGCAGGGGCATGGTCGCCAAATTCCCCTTTTTCCCGCCCTCCCCACGGGAAACATCGCTCAGGGGGTCCCCGACCACAAAACGACCAAACAAAGCCCGCCGGAAAATCCTCGCCTCAAGTCTGGGGTACAAGGTCATATTTTCTGGCTGCATTCCATTAGCGAACACTAACTCTAACATGTGAAATATGTGGGTATGTGGTATTTTGTGGTATCATTTGTGTGGTTGGCTTCAACGGAAACAAGACAACCACCATTTTGGGGGCAGTCCTATTTGACACATTTATGTGTGGACCAGCCCCCATTCGGCCTGGTGTACACGCACTCGTCGCTCTTGCCGTTGAAGAGCAACACGGGCACCTTGTTCCTCAAACTCGGCCCGATTAAACCCGAGGGATGCGACTCGTACCTCACGCGTACACTTTGCGTGCTTGTTGAGGGTACCTCGCGTGGGTTTGGCTAAGCGGCAAAGCACAAGAAACACCCACTATGTTGCCAGGCTGAGTAAGTTGTTTATAACCATGGTCACAACCTATTTTCTCAGAGGACAAACATCCAAGTGAGTGAAATGAGAATAGCATTCGAGGGGTAGAATCACCCCTATGAATGGGCCGAAGAGGGTCAAAACGAGCCCATGCGGAAACGAAACCACTCTAGACCTTCAGCAGGCCAAGTGGCAAGCGAATTTCGGGCACCAAAGCTTCTGGGAGCGCCGAAAGGAGCTGCTGGCTTGCTTTGCTTGCTTGCCCGGGAGGTCTGTGAGTCACAATCAACTCCTGGCAGAGTCGAGTCAAAAAGCTCCGGGCATTTCTCAACACGGTGGACTTTGCTTGGAAATTGAAGACAACAAACTCCAAACGAGGAAACCTTGGCCATTTGGGTGCAACTTTGAGAAACACTCAACAATCAAAAGGCCGGATGACACCTGCCAGCAATTTGAAGCTAGGAATTCCCCCGAATGAGGACGTCTCTTCCCGTTTTGAGGACGTCTACGGTCGAATGAGCTGGCCGTGGACTGACATCCAGGACAGGGGAAACTGGCTTGTGCCCCTGCCGCAAGGACGAGACAAACAAACCAGCAAGCAAGCAAGCAAGCAAGCAAGCAAGCAAGCAAGCAAGCAAGCAAGCAAGCAAGCAAGCAAGCAAGCAAGCAAGCAAGCAAGCAAGCAAGCAAGCAAGCAAGCAAGCAAGCAAGCAAGCAAGCAAGCAAGCAAGCAAGCAAGCAACAACAACAACAAAAAACAAAACAAAACAAAACAAAACAAAACAAACAAACGACTTGTTCCGGTGGAAATGGGATGTCCATCTTTCAAGCTCTGGCGAGAGGCAGGTTGGATGGGTCGTCGATCAAGTTTTGGGCGTATCGCCCCCACCTGGGCCAAAGGGGAAACGTTTCCCAGAACTCAATAAGGCCTTAAGAAAAGGGAATCGTTTAGTTGGCAAGTGGGAAAACAGAAAAAAAGAAGGGCTGAGTGCTAAGGCGAAAAACCTTTCAGGGAGGGGATCCAAATGATGGGTTTAAAGAAGAATTCAGGACAGCTACGTGTTGAAACCAAGTTGCCAGAAGTTTGGTGCCCAGACCAAACCACTTCCCAACAAGTCCCGAGTTTTTGTAATGGCACACTGCCGACTAGGCGCCTCACCCAAGAACCCAGTGGGACAACCCCATGGAAGAGGCCATGACTTCCCATGCAGAAAATGGCAAGCCCAATTTGCCGATCGGCTTTCTCTTGTCATTTGGGTATGGTCAAAATTAAACCACCAGAAACCTGCTGGTTTTAGTCCATGTGTCCACTTACTAGGGTTTGGTATGTATATTTCACCCACAGCCATTTCCGCCCTTGGATTCTCGTGATGCACGTGGAAGAAAGTTGTCTTCGTCTCCAAATGTGACGAGATGCCTAGGCCCCTAGGGAAACCCAATGCACCAAACTCTTTCTGTTTTTCATGGCAAGGCATATAAACGATCAATCCCACCCCCCCGATGAGTAGATTTTGACTTTCCGTCCAGCCCCCGTCCGGATTTATTTGGAGGCACTTCAAAGCATGTTCAATTCAAATGGACTTTGAAAACATGGAAAAAGCAAATTAACAACTGAATGATATCGTCTAAGTTGACCCGCGGATATCCAGGCACCGAAAAAAAAGACGCTGAATGATAAACAAAGGAACATGCATATCATAAATGAGTGCCTAATAGTGCAACGAAGAACCAAAGCTTCCGTTTGGATTTTGCATTCAAGAAGTTTCGAACAAAGCAAGCTCCATTTAATGCAACACGATATGCAAACAAACCACTCGACCAACAAATTATTGAATCACAGCAAGAATGAACACAATATATAATGTGTATATAATATATGTGTATATATATATATATATGTCACCTATAAATAACCCTTCTTCAATGGCGGCCGGCATGCTCGAAATGTCAGGTGAGCAAAGGAACCCCGGCTTTCCTTTGGATTCCTTTTAAGCCGACACCAGCAAAAGATCCTTGCGACACCAAATTCAGGATCCTTGCGCCCCTTCCGGTGTCAAGGGAGTGGATTATGCGAACTCCATCGGCACAGCCACGTCCAGCGGACGGACTGCTCGATGTCGACATTCCCGTAATAGCACCGGTCCTGTTCAGGAGCAAACACACGCAAGAGGGGCCAATCAGGATAACACATGCATGAAAGAACCTGCTTAACAAAAGTGCGAGGTCAAACGCATGTCAAGCTTTCGTGACTGGGCGCGTTGAACACCATGTATAACTACTTGAACCAACAAATTGAAGATCATCGGCAAATGCTTTCTAAACATAAGCAACACGCACAAGGCGTCTCAATACACACCAAGCTGGTCATGAACACGTGCATATTGTTTTTCTGAACTTGACGAAATTGCATTGGCATGCAACGGTGCAAACGCATCAACCACACACTGGAAGCGATAGGCAGCATGTCCCCTTTGGCACGGTCAAAATGTGTGGATACTGTAAAGGGCATGGGGAGACCCCGTGAAGTGGTAAACTTGGGAAATATGCGCAGTTGGGAATACAATTCAAGGACATGGGAACATATGCGGCTGCCGTACCGCATGAGCCCCGGTTTGTCAGACATTTCATGAAATCACCAATGTCCCTCCACTGGTCTCACTATGATTTGTGTGAATATGTTGACCGAACAGAAGAGACATGTTGAAGGCTGGGGAAGGTCATACCAGTAGCTTCCTTGATGTGGTGCCATGCGACGGCCTTCCATCCCTTGCGCAAGGCTTGGATGGTTGTGCCAAGAAGCCAACGTGGCACGCATCCGAGCGGTGTGCTAAAGACAATTGCCGCCGAACAGAAATATCAAACCCCTTTCGCGGCATTCACGGGGCTGCCGCGGCGTAAGAGGTTTCTTTCGCGAGAGGTTTGATGAGGCAATCACTTACACAGTTCACAGATTTGCCGACATGGCTTCGCTGCTCATTGAACACACAGGAAACCAATAATTTATTGGCTTTCGCAAGTGAACTGACTGATAGTTACTTGCTTGGGCGACACGTGGTGGAAGGAACATGGCTGCAGGAGGAAGGTACCGGATGCCTTATGAATATGCATCAAAATATGCTGTTTGTGCTTCTAATACCACGGCTTGGGCTAGTGATTTCGCCGGGCTTTCGCAGTCTGACGAAAAAAAAAGAGAAAAAGAAGTGTTTTCCACCCGTGTTGGCAAGTGTCTCCGAACTGAGGCTTACATGCAAGCAAAACACACAGATTGTAATGATTGTAGCCCTTTCGCGCACCCAAAGGTGCTGCCTGATATAGCCCTGCAAGCGATCATTTCAAGTGCAGGGGCTTTAGAACGCTGCTCGTCTGTCTTCGGCGTGCTGGATCTCAAATTCCGGCTAAGCAGAATCAATATTGGTATGAAAGAAGTCATACAGCACGGGATGGGAAACAACAAACACATATCCGCACCCATTCATCAGCCTTTGATTGCGGCTCACATGCGTTGCCTCCCCAAATAAATCTAATCACTTTACCCCAAGGCGAGTTTCTTTAATAACATGTCCAGAATGATGGCAAGAAACGCGCAGTCCTCCTCATCTTTCTCCATGCCACAGCCATAAGGGGAGCCTGCTGCTATCAGCGCGCCATCCACGCTCGCCTCGGAGAAACAGCCAGGTACTCGGCCCTCGGAAGCTTCGGGTACTCCGTGGCAAATGACCTATAGAGCCCGAAAGAGGGGTTCCCCATGTCAATCTGAGAGTAAAGCTTCCCACTTTCAACTGGTCCTCTCCCGGGTGTGCGGAAGGTCTTCAAGGACAAAGCTAAATCAGAACCAAACTACCACAACCAGCCAACAGAACGGGCCTAACTCTGCAAGTTCAACAAAATGCCCAAAGCCCTGCAATCAGAATTGAGTCTTCAAATACTTACATCATGGCCTTCCCTCGCTTTACCCCGAATCGAGCGAACTCAAAATCCTCAGAATCTTGTCGTCTGACCGGCTCGCTAGGCCTTGCACTGGGTCCTGAGGCTAGGCAAATGGTATTTCAGACAGCGGTCATCAAGTAACAGAGCGATTACCCGCTCCTGGACCACTGCCTTTTGCGTTAACGTAAGGCGATTTTGGTTGCTGGGGGGGGTGCTAGAAAGGACTCTTTTTTCTGGGGTCAACCAAGCCGCTCGTTTGAATGGGTGAGCTCACTAAGGACTTGTGCAGTTATTAGAGCTGAGGTGCTGAGTGCGCGAAGAGGTGGTTCACCGCCTTGCGTCTGCCGCAATTCGCAGTCTATGGCTAGTGGCACGAAACCACCCCACAAGCAAAACGGGCGCTGAATTAGCGTTGGGTTGTGTGGGATACAACAACACATTAAGCCATATGATCATAAGATGATGCGCGTAATTCTTGAAGCTCGTACAATAGAACTACGAGGAATTGTCTCTTGGGCAAAGCTGGGAATCTTCTCTTGAAGGGAAAGTGCATACCTGGCATTCAGATCCGTGACAGAGGGACCTTCGCCCTCTCTGCGATTACGTGGGTCCTGCCGACCAAGTGGCCCTAAAACCCCATCTTCAAGGGCCGAATGGCGTGATCGCCAATGGCAACCACCCCCAACGCGCCCCTTACTTCTTGATTTGGCTTCATATATAGAGGCAACACAAATTGCAAATAATTCCTTCTTCCATTTTTTAATGGACCCGCCCCAAAAAGTGCCGTTTATAATTAGGGGGACCGGATTAGTGTTGGAGGAGACCCAAACAGCGATTGAATCACAGGTCTCCTTTGCCTCATTTCAGTCGATTTCAGGCAGGCAACTGCGGTATGGAATGCCAGGTCCCGTTGGAGCACTAAGAGTCAGCTAGCGCGTGTTTTCTTTGCCGCAGCAAAAACAGTACAGCAAATTCTGAAATGTCAGTTGTGGAACACACGCAGAGTCATTTCAGTGATGCCAAAGTCAAATTCCCATGGCACATGTAGCTCAGCACTGTAGCGTCACTGAGGATTTTTTGTGGGTGGCTCCAAGGCCCAAATCGGACGCCGTTTGTCCTTTGCCACTCGCCGGGGCGCCATGGAGCCCCCTGCAGATTGCCCACTGACGGAGAAGCGGAGGGGACTTGTCCCCAGTGCGCCTGCGAAACTTTTTCGAAGTTCGAAGTGGAGCTTCGAAGCGAAACCCGCCGGGGCCGAAGCTGGACCAATGGAGGGTACCAACTCGGGGTGGCAAAAAAAGACGTTCAATGGCACACCCTTGCTATAACCCTTGTTGAGAATGGAACCAGCCATTTTCAGGGATCCATATTTTGACAATGAGATCATACCAGCTGATATAGACCATCAGCAACATCTTCATGAAATCAGGTGCTGGAGAGCCACCTGCTAAGATGGAAAGTAGGGTCTTCGAGCGATGCTCAAGTAGGTATGTCATGTAAGAAT